TGTGCTGATCCACATTCCAAATGTTTGGGAGCAGACCTGGCAGAAGGGCAGCAAATCCTCTACAGCTGCCTCCTTCAGATAATGGTAACCAATGTAAGATGGACGTAAATGAAGCATTACAAGGAAATACAAACGCTGTGGAGCTCTGCCTTTAGATAAACCAATTTTACTCTTAGTTCCTTAGCAAGACAACCGAACTTCTTGAACATGATTCTGTTCTTTTGGGACACTGCAGACACCTCCCTAGGAGCTCCTGAGGGAGGCAAATCGAACAATTTGCTGCCAGTAAAGGTTAATCTCTAGCTGTGAACACGTGTGAGCCCTGGCTTGGGATGGATTTTCGCCTGGCTGCAAACATTATCCTTTTCTTCCTACTCATGACATTTTTGTTTTGTGGCTGCTCAATGGCTTTCTGGTGCTAGCCCTGCACTGACGTCCACCTCATATATACCCTCTTCCCCTACTACAGAAGCTTCCCTACCATCTTCAAAGCAAGAAGCTGAATGTCGTCAGCACCCATCAAGATCAGTTCTGCTTTAAGGCAAAAAGAACCAAATCAAATACACTGTTCATTTGCATTTTATTTGCAAACCTGCAGAGCATGCACATCACAAATAATTTCATCCAACCACTCACTCCATGTATTTTAAAGCACAGGGACTTAAAGGGAAAAAAAAAACACAACAAACAACAAATTCAAATTAGAACATGTAGGAGGATCTTAGGACTCAGCTTTAACCAAAGAGCTGATTGACTGGAGTGCTGATGGTCTGAGACCTTATGTGCCTGGCATCAGCACAGAGGGGAATTTATGGCTGAGTTTTGTAATCTGAAAATAAGGGTCTACGTGAAAAGATCTGAGAAGTCCTTAATGAAAATATTAGCTTAATGAAAGCTAATGCTGTGTTCTTACATTTTACTTCCCTTCCAGTTATGTGTAAAGGCACCAAGGAAGCTTTACTACAGTTCAGGCATTTTAGATGACAACTCTCAAATATGAGTTTCGTTATTATTTTAATAGTTCCTCCGGTCCCTCAAATTTCAGAAAAAATAAAAATCTCAGTATTTCTGCCTTTTTGTCTATCATCTCATGCACATTAAAAACTAGATGGCAGCCAAAGGACAAAAGGTGCTGTAGTGGCACCAGCCTCTTGGAGAGCTTACCTACGGGTAAGTGAGAGGGAATTCTACTCTTTGCAGTCAAGGAACAACTCATCACTGAACAAGCCTCCCTTCAGTAGACACCTTAATTTCTATGCAAAATGGTTCCTCCCTCACCTTCAAATGTTTTCAAGCCTTCTGCCTCAAGCTGCCCTCCAGAAGTTGAAGGTAACTCTGGGAAGGTGACAGGGAGAGATGGAGAGGCGGTGAGCGGAGCTTGCTCCACATCCACCACACAGGCCAGCAGGGCCAGCTGAACTTATCCAAAAGAAACATTCTCCATCCAGCCACATAGGCTTTACACATCTGCTCAGCAGGCTGGGAGAACTGCTCCTTTTCTTCTTCCCTCATTACTTTTCAGCTTTTATTACGTGTGAGAGGGCTGAAGGACATGCACAACACCAGGCCAGCAGGAGCATGCTCAGGGAGGCACAGCATCTGGCTCGTTTGCTACTCCACATCTCTGTACAAAGAGTAGTCAGTCAGCTGAACAGCCAGCACTTTAGGGACCTGCAATTCACACTGCCCAACTGGGATCAGTCCTTCAACAGTGCTGAATGCTAACAAAACTCAGAGAGACATAAAATATCCTGAGCTGGAAGGGACCCACAAGGATCACTGAATCATAGAATCCGTAGAGCTACAAAGACCTTTAGAGGTCATCTAGTTCAACTCCCCTAAAATTAACAGGGACATCCACAGCTACATCAGGTTGCACAGGGCCTGATCCAGCCTCACCTTGAAAGTCTTCAGGGATGGGTCATCAACCACATCTCTGGGCAACCTGTTCATCACCACTGTCACAGTAAAGTACTTCTTTGTTATATCTAACCTAAATCTCCCCTCTTTAAGCTTGAAGCCATTTCCCCTTATTCTATCACAACAGATCCTGCTAAAGAGTCTGTCACCTTCTTTCCAGTAGCTTCTCTTCAGACACTAAAGGGCTGCTATCAGGTCACCTCTCAGCCTTCTCTTTTGCAGGTTGAACAGCTCCAGCTCTCTCCAATTGTCCTCGTAGGAGAGATTTTCCATCCTTTTGATCATTTTTTAGGCTTTGAATGCACTCCAACAGGTCTATATTTCTCCTGTACTGAGGACTCCACACCTGGATGCAGTACTCCAGGTGAGGTCTCACCACTGCAGAATAGAGGGGCAGGATCACCTCCCTCACCTGCTGGCCACACTTCTTTTGATGCAGCCCAGGATACGGTTGGCTTTCTGGGCTTTGAGGGCACATTGCTGGCTCACACCCAGCTTGCCATCCACCAGTACCGCCAGGTTCTTTTCAGCAGGGCTGTGCTCCATCCTTATACCCCCCCAGCTTCTATTGATAGCAGATGTTGACTTGACCCAGGTGCATTTGAATTTGTTAAACCTCATAAGGTTCACTTTAGCCCACTGCTCAAGCCTGGCCAGGTCCCTCTGGATAGCATCTTATCCCCCTTGTGTGCCCAGCACTTGTCTCCAAACAACACCACCCAAAATCCAAATCCTATGCCTGCAAGCAGCATCCAAATGCACCTTGAACTCCATCAGCTAGGGCCATGTGCTGCAGACTCTGTCCCTGACCCCCAGCTGCCCTCCCCTGACGCAGCTCCATGCCGTTCCCTCGGGCCTGGTCACTGCCACAGAGCAGAGCTCAGCGCTGCCTTCCGCACCCCATGAGGAGCTGCAGCAGCCATCAGGCCTCCCCTCAGCTTCTCTGCTCTGAGCAAAACCAGGGCCCTCAGCCACTCATCCCATGTCGAGGTGAGGCAGCACAGCCTCTTCCTTCGGCCAGTGTCCGTGCTGGGCCTGGTGCACCCCAGAGCACAGCTGGCCCCTTGGGCAGCCAGGGCATGCTGCCAGCTCACATTCAACTTGCAAGCCAGAGCCCAACTCATAAATAGTCTCACATTCCATGGGCCTTTAGTCTAGTGCTGCCATGGGTTCAAGCACACCAAGTGCCTGTTCCTTACAAGATTACTGAAACAGATGAAGCACCCTGGTGGGGCATAGTAATCTGGGCAAAACAGGAGCTGCTTGTCCCTACCGCATGTCCCGCCTGAACCTGTGTCCCAAACACAACTCACAGAGGCCAAAAGTGACCAGTACAGCACGCTAGCCCCTAGACCCACGTGGCAGCTGGACGAGCACCAACCCCACAAACTGGGCGGGCGAGGGTGGCGCCATTTCACGTTCCGCGGCACCTGCGGGCGGTAAGGGCGCCCCCTGGTGGCGGGAGGCTCCATCTGCGCGCCGCCTTCGCCCGGCCGCGAGAGGCTGCCCGCCGGTGCGCTCACGTAGTCAGCTCCTCATTGCCTCCACGTGCGCAGCTCGCGTGTTGGGTGCTGGGAGTGACGTTTAGAGCGAAGTTCCCTTTTTCTTTCTTTCATATCAAAACTGAACTGTTGTACAACGCTAGACCGTCATCTACTCAGAAAGCGGGTTACAGACTCAGCGGCACAAAGAAACTTCCACGTGGTACAGATTAGAATGACATTTGTCTCCACGCAGTGCCATGCAAAAACCTGCACGCAGCAGCACACAGCACTGAATTCGGGCTTTGAAAGTCTGGGGTCCGCTCCAAGCCCGTGGGCGACCTCCAGCAAAATGCTTCCAGGTCACATGCCTTGCTTTCCTCACATTTCAGGCAGGCATAACGCAACCCTTCGCGAAGCACCTTCAGAGTGCTTGCAGTGGCAGGTGGTTGTTTTAGCAGATGCCACGCTCCCTATTGTGACTGATGCAGGCAAAGCACGGAAGGGCTTGAGCCAAAACTCTGCCTCCTGCTGTCGCTGCCCTGCCCGAGTCCCGTCTTCCCATTGTTCCAATAGCGGCAACGCTCCTTCCCAGCTGCAGTCCTCCATCAGGTTATCTGCTTCACAGGAGAACTCTACATTGGAACTGCTACTGAACACCCTGAGTTTACCCCCAACACATCAGCAGGCACAGGAGTGCAGCAGCAGGGGAACAAAGTCATTATTTGGAAAAAGGTGGGCATGGCAAGGAGTAGGATATACACTGATTTTTACATGCACCCATAGCAGATCATGTACGTCCAAAACAGTTGGTGTTGCACTAAAATCAGATACTGATGGAGTCACGCAGTCTGTGCAGTGCTTCCACTGGAACAATTTGTTTCTATGCTAACTCCTGGATATCTTTCTGCTTAATTTATAGGAAAAAGCCAGCATGTCATCAGCAATAAATCAAGAGTTTCTCCACTTAAGTCCAGAATCATCTCTTACAGTACACCATTAAGCTTAAGGCTTTCTCCATTGTCAGGCAATAGACTCATCTTCTAAGCACCGTTACTCATTGCCAGCTCCTGCCTTAGACCACGCTCCCTCCAGGCTGCTGGAGCTCATCCAGCTGACTCCGCCTGTCGTGGGAAAAAACACCACAGGCTCCAGCTCCAGCACGGGAGCACTCCTTTCTTCCAGTGCCTCAGCTGGATCTGGAGAGGGATGTTCCCACGTGCTGTCAGCACTTCACTCTGAATGCCATTGCTTCCACTAGTTTTGCTGCATGCCTGCGAGCGGTCAGCAGCCCTCTGGAGAACCAGCCAGCACCACCCATTTCCAGAAAAGGAATTGGCTGCTACACAGCACAGTGCCCGGGAACAGCTGGAGAATTCTGTAGAGGCAGCTACCCACCACAATAAGCACTGTATCCTTCCTCTGCTCTGCTCATCTTCCTAAATTAAATAGAAAATGACTTGTTGCAAAGAGAGTTGTCTGCCTTCCCTCCTCCAAAAAAAGGAAGCTTTGAAATCTTGTTCAAATAGACAAATGAATGCATAGGCTGGTTCAAACACTGAGCTTAATTAAGCGGACGGTTAAATAAACAGGAATTCATTTTCTAAATAAGTCTAAATTTATTCATTGCCCTAGTAAAAAAAGTTTGGATTACAAGTGTCTGAACAGTATAAAAGTACAAAACAGGTTTCATAGATTTCTAATACATTAATACAAAGTGCATGACTACATACAGTTCATTCTGCATTACTACCAGGAATGGAACAGGTGGGAGGGAGTGGGGAAGCAGTTGGCAGTTGAAATCTAGCAATAAATAAATAAATACAGAAGAAGAGATGATCCGTATCAGAGCACAACCTACCATCAGTACTGCAGCCTCAGGTGTACAGAATTACTGATGCTGAAAACACAAACTCCAGTAAAGGCAGGTGTCTGCAAAAAATAGCCAGTACTCTTGCTCAAGTCCTTATCAGACATGACCGACCTAGTTAGGCAGTTATACAAGTATCCACTCATTTGGTTGCAGATGAAAAGTAAGGCATGTAGCTTTGTCTTCCCTTCAGAATCTCAGGGAGCTTAGGAAAAAAAAAAATAAAAAATAAAAAAACAACACAGTAAAAGAGCAATGAAAGCTGTAAGATGTAAGGCTGTGATAAATCAAAGCCTTCTTCTGATATCCTCTCCTCAGAGGCTGGACTACTCAACAGAAGGGAGAAAGGAAAAAACAGCTTTGAGGATGGAGGCTCCTCTTAAATCCTGCATATCCTTTCCTACCTATATTTTAATTTGCTAACTATTCCCATTTCAGGAAGTGAGATTACACAGAAATCCAGTCCTAAGCCCTACCCACCAAAGTTTTGCACGGATGACTCGCACAACAAGGAAAGTTTGTAGCATCCATTGCAGAACATCCCAAAAAGAGTAAAAAGAAAAATCCCTTCCCTCCCCCCAAAGCAAACAAATAAACAAAAGCATAATTCTCAAGTTACACAAATTAAACCTTCATAAAGGAACATGAATCAATAGGGAACTAAAACTGCAGCACACTCCTCCAGGAAGCTGCTATCACCCTAAAGGCAAAGTGGAGTTTGAAGGAACATCGCACTGGTTTGCACACAAGTTCAGCTGGGAATCTTTTGATCATGTATGCAAACAGAGCTGCCTCTATTCAGCACAGCACCAATGCTAATAAAAGCCCAGTATTTACAAAAGCCTTGATCTGCTGGTGAGAAGCTGTGTGGCTCTAAAACAAGCACTGTGAATCCAAACCACAGGTTGGAATCAGCTTGCGTCCCCAGACCTGAATCTAACTTGCTTAGCAAGTGGCTTGGTCTTATGTCAAGCCTGAAACCAGCAAGTAGTCTTTTTTGTGGTCACATTTGAGCTGCACTGGGCCAAGAGATATAGCCGTTACCTGGTTACGGCCATCGTCTACACCTAACTTGGGCACTGGGTTGTTTTCTTGGTCCTCCTCTAATTACCAGTCAGTTACTACACAAAGCCCAGAGGGTCTGCTGCTAGGTTAAAAACAAACAAACAAAAAAGTCTCCCATCCATTTCACTGTGTTCAATTCTCAGGCAACTCCTCCTCCTCCCTTCCTAACTAAGAAGGGAAGTGCTCCTACCCCTTCCCTAAGAGCATCTGTTGTTGGGAGGCTTTTTCAGATAACTATCACTTACAGTAGAGATGTCTGCAGTTAACAGTCTGTCACATATCTGTCTTTCTTACAACGTCAGTAGTATAGGGTGAGATCTCCACACCTTCAAAATATATATATTTATACAACTAGAGAGGTGACAACATTTATATGTATTAGTTCATCTCATACATGTCTAAGAATGAAATATTTTCTTGGGGATTTAAGGGAGGTTACCAACCAACTTAAAAAAAAAATAAAAACCCTTACAACCACCGTTTCTTTCAATACAGAAAGATGAACTACATACACTTTAATATACAAAACCCCGTCCTCAAGTTCATTTGTGAAGGGAGTGGGAGGGAAAGATAAGAGGGACAACCTTGCAGCAGCATTCAGCTTCACTAAGTGTTCCATAGCATCTTAAATATTATGTACAGTCTTTCTGAAAGGATACAAACTAGTTTCAGAGTTTGTGGAATTGTAGCAGTAAAACCCAAAACAATTCTAGGGAATAGTCTTTTGGCAGCATAGCAGGTGTCCAATGTGAACAGAGTCACTTTTCTAGTATTTTTCCAGAGAATAAGAGGATCTGTATAACTGTCTGCAGCTCTCCAAGGAAGTCACCACTCCTCTTGGGTAGAGATTGCTGGAGATTGTGGTCCTTCTTGTTCTGGCTTCTCAGTGGCAGACTTTTTATTGCTACAGCAAGGTTTGAAGAGATGAGTGTCTATGAGGACTTCCCCAAAACGCCCTTTGTAAATAATTCCACAGCAGACCTTTTGCCTGAAAGAAAAAGCAAGCAGAGATGCAGACAGCTTGTGACACTGATTCTTTGAGCCTCAGCACTGTTTGGCTATGACAGTAGGGGCTGTCCAAAGAGAGAGAGCAAATCAATGTCTAAATCCACATCATAATTTAGGGAAGGAAAACTAAAACAAAACACAAGACGACGACCACTAACAACAAAAACCAATCAAACAAATAAAACCATGCACATAAAAAAGCCATGCCTACATAAAACTAAGTCTCTAAGTCTCCCATTTTACTTCCCAGAGAAATTTCAGCTACGCAGCTATCTAGGTTAAGCTAACCTTGACAACTAGGCATTCAAAAACACTATTTGAGAGGAGGCAGCAAAGTCACAACGATCCCAGTATAGCAATTAGCTAAACAAGGGATTAGTGTGTCATAACACGTAATAAAACAAACCCATCAGCTCCAAGAAAATCTTGTGCTTTTCCTCTCTCTCTTTTTTTTTTTTTTAATGACCACCATCACAGGTCAATCAAATTTAATGCTAGGTTACTCAGCTTGGCAGCAAAACATACGTACATGGTAACATGGTAACTTGTTGCATCTACAGAGCATAGTTTTAAGACAAGACAGTGACATTCAGAATATTGTTCGTTACTCCCAAAAATGTAAGAACATCTCTCCAGATAGCATGTTTTTGTTTAAGAACTGGAGGGAGATAGGAGAAAAAGTCTTGAATACATAGTGTTCCTTTCCAGTAAGATAGACATTGTGGAATACTTAGTGACTTAAATGATATCTCTAACACAAGTTCAGCAGCAGCAGCACCCTGCAAGCTCCTAAGGAAGCAGCCTTGATCACTGAATATGAAACAAACTGCTGTCTGTACAGAGCACACCTTCTGTTTCATTTTACCTCTTCCAATACGTGAGATCTAGAAAGGAAAAAACCGGTGTTCTGCTGGACCCAGCACTCATCTCTGTGTCAGAGCCCTCATCAGACTGGTTGCTGTAGCAGGGGGATTGAGCTGGGGAGGCACTTGAAGTGGTGCTGTGGGCATCAGAGTCTGCAGGGTGGGGGGGGGGGGGGGAGAATAAATGCAAGAATTAAGACATGCAGCAACTCATCCTTTTCCTTACTTCAAAAGGTCACATGCAGACGGGAACTGAAGAGAAAGACTTTCCTAATTAACAACAAAAGCCTAATAGTAACCCATTTTTCTTACCCCTGCCTACTTCAAAAATCCTTGAAAGAACATCTGTCATCATGTGGGAGACTGAAACAGGTCCCTGTGTGTGAAGGACTGCAAAGAGGTTCAGGGTCAGAGTCTCAAATGCAGCCTGAGCAGCACGCTACACTTCAGACACGATCCTGATTCTTCTCTGTAATCACTGAAACACTGTTGAAGCTGGTCAGGACCTTTGCTTCAGATGCAGCCCTTCAGTGCAAATCTCCTTTCTTACCCATTAAATTAAAATCCTGCAAAGCTCTTCTGATTAGAGCAATGGATTAGGTAGTTTAAAGCTCCAGCTGGAACAAAACTGTAAGCTATCAACTTCAGGTATGCAGATGCATATCTGAATAGAGATACTGCTAGCTTCCTTTTTAATTGCCTCTACCACCCACAGTAACACAATAAGAATTGACTATTGCACATTGGATGAGTAGATAAGAGCTCCATAGGTCAAGGCCTCCACTGGTTCTTCTGAGAGCACTTCCTTCAGGTCAGGCAGAATGATAGAAAACAGAGAAGATCAAGACAGCAACAGTTAAGAAGCTACAAGGTTTGCTTTAGAGGAAAAAGAAACTAGATTGCTGACATATATTTAGAGTGTTACTGACAGATGGATGTGTGGGAAAGATATAAATCCATATCTATTTGAGAGTCTAAGTGCTAGTGGAAAGAAATCACTGAGACTAGCAGAAGGTTTAAGGAAACTGTACAGAGGAACATGGCAGGAGCTTACAGAGTACATGTGTATGTTGGGGGGGGGGGGGGGGGGGGGGAAGAGGGGCAGAACACAAACAGGCTAAATAGAAAGCCTAGGCTGAAAACATACATGGAAGAAAAAGATTGACAGTGGTATCAGCAGAGCAAGCAGCCTTTCTTGAGAGGAGAGAGCTTAAAACTATCATAGCAAGTTAATGAGAACAGGGGGAAATCTCTTTCAACTTCAATGAGGGCTTTGCCCAAGAAGTTCTTCCATGAGATGTGTCATTTCAGCGTGAGATATAAGCTGCAATTGCCTACTCCTTCCAGCTCTGCTTCTAACCCTCTCCTTGTCACTTCTCCACGTGACACAACCAGCCCCCTTCAGATACTCATCCTGTACACGGTCTCCCCTTTCATTCCACCGCCTCCCCAAGCACACTGAGAACAAGAGGTTACAGGAACAGAGAAAGCCTGAATGTGTGAGAGCACAACTGAATCCAGGAGGCGACTCAACATGGTCACTTAGCAGTAAGTTTTAGGGGAAGCCAAAGTTTATAATCAAAATCTGCTTGGATCTACTTACTATGCCGCTTGAATTCTTTTTGCAGCTTGCTGATTTGATTGCTCTTTATTCTGCTTCCAGAGAGAGTTTTCATTTTCTTTGGTTTCAGTGTTGTTTTCAGACTGGGTCCAGCCCTGGCATCTACCACCTACAACACATAAAATGCACACAGTGATCCTGAATTATGCCCAGATACTGCCTTTGTCAAGATGTCCGCACTGATCTAAGCTGAAGGAGCTCACAGAATCATTGAAGTTGGACTGGATGATCTTAGAGGTCTTTTCCAACACCAGCCCATCCCCACCATGCTCACATCCCTCAGTGCCACATCCACACAGTTGCTGAACACCTCCAAGAATGGCGATTCCACCACCTCTCTGGGCAGTTACACTCTTTCTGAGAAATGTTTCCTAATATCCAACTTGAACCTGTCCTGTTGCAACTTAAAGCCATTTCCTCTTGTCGTAGGGCTGTTACCTGGGAGAAGAGACCAACCCCACCTCACTCCAACCTCCTTCCAGGGCGTTGCAGAAACGCTCAAAAGCAGTCTAGTTAAACCAAAGCAGTTCTGCGTACTCACACTTATATTTCTCTTAAATCTGGTTTATAAGAGACTGAGTTTGTAGGAAAAGAAGGCAAACCAGTTTCAAAAGCACATCCAACTAAACTTGCATCTTCTTCCTATTTTGACAGATTCAGTTGAATAGGCAATGGTTGTTTACATCTATAGAGGCTCAATCAAAAGAATGACAACTAAGCATTTACCCTAGAGATTGTTTTTGTTGTTTTAAATCATTAGTTTAACTTCTTAATAAAGCTAGAGCTAGTAACAATCATAGTTCTGGATCCTGTTCTCACCAAGGCTTCCTTTATAAATATTATTTCATACACAAGGAATCCTGATCATCTTACCAGCCTTAGGCCCAAACTGAATTAGGTAGATCAAAACAGAACATATGAGCAGGAATAGCTGCAAGATATTAGTCTTTAATTACCTGATTAAGCCACATTGATTTGTGTGCTGCTTGGAATAAGACACCTTGCTTGTTCAAGCTATTAAAAAAAAGTGACCAGTTTTGGACAGAGACCAAATTCTATAATGTTTTGAGTGTCATAAGAGACTTCTGGACAAAGTTATGAGATTGTGAAAACAAGGAATTACAAGGTAGGTTAGTCTGTGACTCCATCCATGGCTTGCACCATCACAATTTGCACGTAAGTCTAACAAGGACAAGAAATATTCCAGGCAAGTTTTATAAATGTTGGGATTAGGTAGTGAAGGCAGTTGGGAAATAGCAACCCCTAAACTCTTTCTAGCGCCTCCCTCTCTGATGTAGAACGGACTGAAGTAGAAGGCAAGTTAATTAAGGGCAGGGAAGAAATAGATAAGTTAACTAACGTGATTCCAGTTTTTTTTGGATCCTGCTGGCAACTTTTTCCATCTTTTCACCAAAAGGACACAGGCGTTGCAAATGTCTCCTGAGCGGGCCTCGTGGAGCCTGGTAAGAATGAAAAGCAAAAATCACTTTATAACAATTAATAAAAACAATCATGCAATAACAGTGTCAGAAGCACAAGGAAAAGGGTTCCTTCTCAAGATCTGATTTTCAGGCATGACAATTAATCTGAGGTGCTTCATCAGTGCCATCTGAAGACCAGGTCTGACTTTCAGAAAAACATTATTCCATGTAGAAATAAAAGGCACTGTAATTCGCCACCATAAGGAGGCTAAGAAAACCCAGCCCCATTACCTTCTGTTGTTTATGTGTTGTTTGCCTTGTTTTCTTTTAAACCACAGCTTCAGTGATTGGACTGATTTGATTGGAGAGGGAATAATCCTATTCCTTGAGCGTAAGCAGGGAACAAAACTGAGATCTGACAAAAGCTTATTCAGCTCTTAGCTTTCTCACAGAGTTTCAAGGATGAGTAACAAATACCATCCAACACACTGCTGCATACATGCAGGATAGGGTTTCAGAAACAGTGGTCACTGGAACGACAGCAATACTTGCTTCCTTCTAACAATCTTGCTTCAGAAACCATTTCTACAGCTAATCACACTAGAGGAATCCACACTAAAGGGAACACAGAGTTGGGTTTTCCAGCTGTTCAAATGAGAGGACTTTGAAGCATGTATAGATGAATGGGCAGGCAGGCTCAGATAAGCCCTTATTTGTTCAGAGTTAAGACTGCATTTTTCACCTTGGCAAACATATTTCAGATAGCGCAAGACCAAAAGCTCCAGTATTCTGCAAGCTTCTTTACTGCTGTTTATATATATATAAAAAAAGCAATGGGCCTTCAGTCTTTCCACTGCCAAGGGCAGCAGCCAAGAATTACGACAGCAAAAACTGTCAGCATCAGATTTATGAACAAAAATCCACGGTCAATACAAAGAGCTATAAAACCATACATGAAAGGGGTGTTTCTAGAAAGGGGGGTGAAGTGGAAGAAGGAAAGAGACAAGGTAAAGACTCACAAAGCCTGCAAAGATTTGCACACGTGAAGTTAAAAGCTTGAGACAAGAGAAGCAATACTGATAAAACACATACAGTTTTTAAACAGCAGATATAAGTTAAACTTTGGCCTAAGATTTTGATGAGAGTCAATCCAGTGAGACTGGAAAGAAAAAAGCTGAATATAACAATGTATTTTTCCTAGGAAAAAAAAATTGAAGAAATCTACAGCAGCAGAAGCTGTTTATTTTGAAATTTTAGTGAAGTAATCAGAAGAGTTTGCCTTGTTAACAATTCAATGACAAAATTGCAAAGTTTCAAAAAGTTAGAAGGCCACAGCAGCTGGTACAAGAAATCACTGCTATTTAGTTGTTTGGAAGCATCAGTAACAAAAGCATTAGGCACAGCTTTGATTAACTGGAAAGTTGATTAATTAATTCTCATTCTTCGTCAGAATGGTCTCCAATGAGAAGTTTTAATAACATATCAATAAGCCTTATCAGAACAACAGCACCAATAGCCAAAATAAGGTACAAGCTTTATCTCATGTCCTCAAATCTCCAGAATAACCAAAAGCCTCCACAGATCCATGCTGCCTTCCACCTCACGCAGGGATTTATACCTCTAAGGATCACAACTAAGTCACCACACATGCTGTGAGGGCGAAGAGGAATTGGCCAGAGCCTTCAATGCTGTCATCTGCTTCAGCTTGCATGAGCAGCCACACTGGGCTAATAACCCAGCAATGCCACATACAGCAGAGGAACCAGTCCTACAGTGGGACAGTCACAAGGAGACTGGGGCTTTCCCCCACCACCTACCCAAGCCAACCACATCTGACAGTGCATCAAGTGTGCAGCTTGGAGATCAAAACCCTGAGAGATGCAGAGTTGACTGAAGGAAGAGTCTTACCCAAAACAGTTCTGGAAATCCTTTTCGTAGCGTTTACTGTCAGTGAAACGAGAGCTGGAAGACTTAGCTCTGCAAATACAGCAGCCCTCTATACTCCGGTACATCTTCGGTTTGTGAAAGCCAAACATTTTTTCCTCCCAGCTGTAGCCTGCTGAAACAAACAGGAACTGGTGTTACTTATCACTTTTTAGATACTGAAAGCAAAACCTGTGTGATTCACTGGGTAAACCAACACTGGGCTGTAATTCAGGACAGGTAAGAGCACTGGCCTGATCTATCTCATATTGCTTCCAAAGAGCAGATGCACCTAATCCACACCTTATTATCTTACAGAAGAGTGAACAACAGCTGGGATATCAAGCAATATCCATTGTGACTGCACTGTTCTCCAAGTCCATGCCTACAGCAGCAGCATAACCCAGAGGTGCAGATGCAGTGCAGGAAAGCCATACTCATTCCAGCAGCCAAGCGGGCTGCAGGAAGACCGTGCCAACCCGCCCCAGCCCCAGGTCACAGCAACCAGGCTGTCATCATCAGCTACCTTCACTGCAAACTCACCACTGTGCTGAAAGCAGCAGGAAAGCAAGTAGGAGTCACTTCAAACGAGCTGCAGCCATGCCTCCAGGCTGTGGGGCAGACATACCTGAAAAGCAGCTCTAAGAGCAGCAGGGTGGAGCCCTCCAGCCCTCAACGGAGCACAGCACTGCGGAGCTCTTCCTGACAGCCAGGCCCAGACGAGCAGCCTCTACGGCAGCAAAAGCTCTTACCTACACATACTTCCATGAAGGGCACCCCACTGCCCTTTAGAAAGGTCTCCCCACCTCCAGCCTATGGTGCTCCCCAGTGCATCATGCCTTCAGGCCCAGCATGACGGGCTGCCAGAGGGCACACAGGTCCCACAGAGCACCAAGTGACACGGATGCTTTCCTGGTGTGGAGCCAGGATGTGCACAAAGGCTCTGCTAGCCACGTGGGCTGCACAGAGCCCATGTTATGGCCACACAGGGACTGCTCCAAGAAGGGCTCTGTTTGAACAGACTGTGGTTTGCCCAGCCAACGCCATAGCAAGGCCTCTGACACTTGTCATCCAACACAGGCAAACTGCTCAGAGGAGACAGCCCGCTGGTGACAGGAAGCTCCCTGAGAACAGGCTTCCACTGCTGAGAACTTCTGCTTTTAAGAACTGAAAGGAGACAGAGCCATGCAAATAGCACACTTTTCTCCCTTCCTCTGACAAAACCGCCAAGTCTCGTACAAGCTAACAATGACAAAAAAAAAAATACAACACAACAAAACAAAAGCTTATCTCCAGCACATCTATTGAGAAGTCTGGTGGCTCGAGGAGGGCTTTCTGGAGAGCATCTCCATCACACGTGGGAGAATCTGATCAGTGGGAATTCCCAGCCACCTCGCAAGCACAGGGACTGCCATGCCCCAGTAAACGCAGCTTAGCCACTGGGGAATGCAGGCAGCACATGGTCTGTCTCCAAATCTTCACCCACTGCAGTGCAAGGGGAAGACTTACATGCTTCCATGAAATGACTACACGTAGCATCACACTTACCTTACTGACAGGCACTACACATAGGGATAAATAACCTGCGTGTTTTTGCAGGATCACAGCAAGTCAGTGAATCAACCACCCAGGCCTGAACATGGTCCTCCACACGGACTAATTCCAACAATACCGCCAACCCCACAGGGGAAAATGAGGACATGTGGACACTGCAAGACAAATTTCTGCTGTCCCAGGTAGCAAAGGGCAGCAGAGTTTTGAAGAGGAAAAAAAACAACCAACACTCATTGTGTCCAAATCCCTCACAGAGAAAAGGTAAGGGACACGCACAAACTGAATAATGAGAAAGATGGAGGGGATGTTCTAACTTTCAACCAAGGTTAACACAGCTGTTTGGCACACATTTGAAGCACTATACTCCTTCGTGCACGTTTGCAGGCTCACCTCCAGCCAGGTTCCCCCAAGGATGACTATTGCGCATAGCCAGCAGCATCACCCCAAATGCTTCCTATGGGATTCTCTGCTCCCTTTATCAGCACAACACTGGCCAGGAAATCCACTTAGTATCCTTGGACTGTCATGACAAATAAAGGAGTGTCTAGGCAGACACTTAAGAGTACATACTTTGTTTCTCAGCATGCAGCACTGCCCTTCAGACAGATGCCTCTCGGGGATACCATGTTTAACAAGCCTCTGGAGATCCAACAGCACAGCACCTTCCACTGGGGAATTTCTAGCTACCAAACTGTGGCTTCAGATTATGTGACTGCCTTAACCTGCAATCTGGTGCTTTTCTTCAGAAAGACAAGAGGTAACTGCAGACAAAAAGTTCATGAGAACTATAAAACTTAAGCAGCAAGAGCATCCTGATTGTTACAGGGCAAGACACAGTACTGATCTCAGCTACCTGATTTTCCAACCCAGGGAGAAACTCCCAGAAATCCAGACACTGATGAGGTGATCTCTGCCACCAGCTGGTATTTATATCACTGTAGAAATAAGATGCATGTTTTACAATTAATGTTCTGGCAAAGGCTGGCATCAGACATATATATTCCGAAAATATTTTGTTTTGCATTATTGCTGCCATTCTCACAGGAGCAGCCTCTCAATACAGTCTTTCAATAGAAGGGAAACTAGTGCCATCTGTTTCCCACTTGATGAACGGTCAGTAACGGTATTACCATATATCATGCCTGAATGGGGAAAAGCTAGTAGCAAAAAAACCACAAGTAGAACACATTTCTCTGACAAACACAGTTGTAAATGGAAGGCATCCGTCCAGTTCCACATTTAATCTTAACCAGTGGCCATGTGACCATTATGCACTAAATATTCTGTCAGCTGCACAGCTCAACAGCTAATGCAGACTGCAGTTAAGTCTACAAATACTTACCAACACTGCTAAACTTAAAGTGCTCCATCTCAACTTTCCATAATTGTCTGCCTAGTGCTGGAGATTACATTATTTCTCTGTAGACTTAGGTGTAGTTAGGACACATGATTGAGCCATTCAAATGGTTTAACTGAAAGCTTTGCAACATAGGTAGATCTCAGATTAAAATCAGGGAGTTAAGATTTTCCAGTTGATGTAACACAGGCTAGATTTCCTACTACTGCAACGCATGAATCTCAGCTGTGGAAGCTTAACCATTGGGGACAGATAAAAAGAAGCCAGGTGGGACTGCAGCTCCATAAAAGTTAAAAGCATCACACAAGATAGTTTTGCCAAATTTAAACGAGGTATTTTAAATACATGAAGTCTTTTAAATTAGCAGCTGTGCAGAAATGAAAGGGAACCACTCTACCAGCAAAAAACAAAGCAACCCAAGAAAAACAGAAAACCTAGTGGGGCGTATTTATCAGTCTGCTGAACTGGAGATGTACCTGCACTACGTAGGGAATGCTACTCCCTCAAGTTAGAGAGAAAGCGATCCTCATCCCCTGCCCCCCTGCAGACAGAGAAGCTGTTTACCCCAAGTCCTGCATTAGCAGCTGGAATGGAAGGAACAAGTTCTCCGTACATCTGTCCTGACATTTTAGGAATAGCAGAAAGTCAGAGTAGAGCAGAGAGCAGCAGAATAGGCGGGGGAAGAAAAACACACCCTGCTTATTACGTTTGTGAAGGGCTGGTACAAAGCAGCATGCATCATATGCATGTGAGAATTCTTTCATGCTTTTGTTGCCTGTCAGGACTAGAAATTGGGACTCAGTTTTCTTTGCAAAACTTAATTTGATGGTCTAAATTAAAAGATATTGCTTCAGATGCTCATTAAGATTTCAAGTCAAGGAAGAACTTCTGAACTTTTCAGATTAAGAAAAGCTGAGCCGCTTTCATTTGCCTTCCCAGATTCCTCTGCATTCTTCTTGATCACCCAAGAAGAATGAGAAATCTGTAATAACAGAGAGGAAGGAATTCCTAGAAGGCAGGCACGTCTCCCTTTGTAACACAATTATCAGGCCACTCAGAAGGAACGCGCTCACCTGCTTCTCATGAAGCTGAAAGAAAACACTCTCCCACGTTACAGGAGAACCAAAGGATGCCAGTCTGACTACTCCACACCCCTCTCTTCTCTAGTCTCCTCACTCTGGCCTGGATCATTCATTCTCAGTGCAACACAATGCTCCCAGCACCTTGAAATACAGAAAGGCTACACATACTCTGGTTTCTGCATCAGCAAGTGCATACACCCAGCACACGTCCACAAACAAGTAACACTTCCAGAACTTCCTAGGGTGCCTTCCCTTCCTCTGTCTGCCCAAAACCTTACTGGAAGGAAAGTGACATTTGGCCACTGCTACAGTCCAGGCACACCAGAATGAAGCAGCATCCTGCCGAGTTCTGACTCGATAAGCTCAGCTACATCAGTGAGCCGATTCATACGCCAGTCCTGTCTGCAGCTACCGTTGTGCAGCAGTGAGATCTCAGCACAACAGATGCAACTGGCAGAGACTCCCAGACCACACTGAAATTAAACCAGACATTGCTTTTCCTTGTTTAAGACTCCCACAGTACTCAAGCTAGGTCACAGCCATCCTGAGTGAAACTGTCAGTAGCCGAGCTGCAGAGGCGCCTGCTGACCTGCTGATCTTCTATGGGAAATGCAAACCCGATTCATTTACACAAAGAAAAAGAGTGAAAGGCCGAGGTATTGGGCGTTCCTGCACGCTGCTATGCGGTTACTGCTCCAGAAGGGATAGGCCAAAGCATGAAAACAATAATCAGTAAGATTTGCATAAGGAAAAAAGAAATCCCAAACCTGTCCCACCTGCAGACATTCCATTTCTAAAGAGGACTTCCCCCTCTTGAAACTCCTATTGCAAAACTAAAACCATGTTCAGCCTAAGCAGGAGCCCCACAAGGAAAACCTGAGCTGCTCGATGAGTCTGTGATACTTATCTGGGTGCACTGCAGCTGTTAAGACGCTGCCAGCAACCACCTGCTGCTGGAAGAGCATCATGGACACTTGGATCACAAGACACTGAACAGGTTTTATTATCACAAGGTTAGAATGTCTGATGACGGCTGCAACAGAAGTAGTAGCAGGATAGTGAAGTCACTTCACTTAAGACACTTCCACGTCTTCAAGCAGTACCAGCAGTCATTTCATGTAGACTTTGGACAGAGCACATTCTACAGAAATTCACAAGCCCGTGAAATGGAGCCCCACCCCTGCGTTCTGCTGAGCCTCTGCTCCCAGCCTAGGCCAAGGGGCTGCCTTACTTCTGCTGGACAGCCCCAGACGGGCAGCTCCAGGACACAGCAGGCTCAGCAGCAGAGCTGCAGGCATTGCTCACCCCAGAGACTTAAGAGAAGCTGTGTTGAGAATCAGTGCAAAGCACTTTAGTGACACTGTTGCTCTGTACAAGTAAGGCAAACCTAATGCTGTTTATCACAATCCGGGTGAATGCTCCAGCACTCTTCACATTTTCTTCCCTTAAGCAGAAAGCAGTGCTTTCTTCTGACTGGGGTAGCCGCACACAGCCAGGAGCTCCCAGAGATCCCCCTAGCCGGGAGAGGAGCAAGGAGGAACTTTTCCCACTGGCTGAGGAGCTCACTGCCTGCTTCCTGCAGGAGCACAATGCCGCAAGCCCAGAGGTGCGTCTGAATACCCCGCGGCTGCAGCTCACAGCAGAGCCCGGAACACTCGGCTGCCTCCAAGGACTTACCGACACAAAGCCCTCCAGCGCAGCGCCTGCTCCGAGACTCGTGTCATCGCTCTAGTTTGAGAAAATCGCGGACCACACAGCGAGCCGGCCCCGCGGAGAAGGGGCTTTCCGCAGCACGTGCGCCGTGCGGGGCTGACAGCCCCACCTCGGGCGACGAGCACGTGGTGTCCGTGCCCGAGCGCACGGCTCAGCCTCCGCCGCCGCTGCGGCCGTGCGCGGCAGCCCCGCCGGCCCGACACACGGATGCCGCGGGCACTCGGCGCAGCAACACCCCGACTTTTCGGGGATCGCAGAACCGAGCGCTCAACGCGGGCCTCGGGCACGGCGGCGAGCCCTTTAAATCCCGCGGCCGCACGCCCTCGCGCGAAGGGAAACGGCAACTTCGTGCTCGTGTGAGAAGAAGAGCGAAGCCGGGTGGGAAAACGGAGAGGACGGAGGAGCGGAGGGCGCCAAAATGCGGGCTCGGGGCCGCTTTCCGCCCCGCACCGCGTGGCACCGCGCGGGGCAGCGCCGCGCTCCGGCCGCGAACAAAGGCCCCCCCGGGCGGGCTGCCGACCGACCTACTTTCCGCCGCCCGGGGCCAGGTGGGACGGCCCCCGACCCGCGGCCTCCGACGGGACCCGTGAGCGAGGAGCACGCGGCGCTGAGCGCCCGGCGGCGGCCGCCCCCGGCCGGGCCGCTCGCGGCGCCCCCTCCCCAGCCCCGGGCGGTGCGCGCGGGTTCCTCATGGCTCGGCCCTGACGTAATTCAAACATGGCAACAGTTGCACTTCAAAGCGCGGCGCGGGGCTCCGGGGCCGCCGGCACGGCGCGCGGGGAGCGACCGCACGGCACGGAGCTGCCGAAGTTTCGCCTCTCCCCGAAAGTCCCTCCCGAACCCTCTCGGGCCGCTCCCCGCGCTCCGAGCCCCGGACCAACGGCGGCACACGGCGGCCCTTTGTTTTCCCCCGGCCGGGCCGGGCTGCGTGCCGCCGGGATTCCGCCCCCGCCCCGGCAGCGCGTTGTCAGGCCCCCCGAGCCACAGGTGTGCGCGGTCGCACCTGCGCCCAGCACTGACGTGCAGCTGCGGGCTCCGCACTGTGAGCGCGACCCACCGCCTGCCTGGGGAAAAGATTTAAAAAGAAAGGAAAAAAAAAAAAGAGAGAGAGAAAAACCCCCACAACACTACAGAAACTCCCAACATCAAGTCTCCCGCCGCCTCTCGGCTGCACTTTTCTCCCCGCTCGCCCCGGAGCACTACGAGCTCACTCACCGCACACCCGCTCGTGCAGACCAGCCCCGCGCCGCGCGCCCTGTGCAGCGCCGTGCCCCGTGCGGCGCTCCCGCCGCCGCGCGCCCTCCCCTCGCGTTCTGCCGCCAGCCCGTGCGGGCGCACTCGCGGCCCCCCCTCCCGCGCTCCGGCTCCGCCCCTCCTCTCAGCGCCCGCCGCTCTGCGCACGCGCCGTTCCCACGGCTCCATTCTCAACAATCGAGCTCTCTCGTTCGCGCGCCCCATTGTCCTTTTAAGGGAGAAAGGCGCGCGGGAAGCCTGGGACGGGGGAGGTGTCGCCCATCGTGACGGCGGCGGTGACTTCACGCACGCACGCGGCCCGCTCCTCCGGCCCCGCCCCCGGCCCGAGGTGGGCGGGGCCCGACACCTGCCTCCCCGAGGCGGGGCGGGGCTTCCGCGCCGCTTCCCGCCCGCCCTCGGAGCGCGGCGCGGTAGCCGTGGGGTGCCGCCTCCTTCGCCGTTTGCTTGCAAATGCCGGGCGATTGCGGGCCGTTTCCTCCCTCTGTGCTATGCAAACGCGGCCATCGGGGCGCGTTCCTCACCGCCGTCCAGGCTTAGTTCCGAGATCGTTGCGTTTTTGTTTTTTAAATGACCGCCGTTTGCTGCCTCCTTGGAGACGCAGTTAATCCCAGTCGCTTCCAACCTGTAGGACACACTGTATGCATTCCAATTGTTCTCCCACAATACACATGTATAATTGTTGCAGAACTTTAGAGAAACCCACCGGAGCTCTCAGCAACTTTTGTTTGCATGTCTACTGCTATTCGGCTCTTCCTTTTCGGTCGATTGAGTGATTCTCTCAGGTTTTTGTCCCAGTATTTTCACAGAATCAGAACCTCAGAATATCGTGAATTGGAAGGGACCCACAGGGACCTCCGAGCCCAACCCCTGGCTCCATACAGCACCACCCAAAATACAAACTTTGTGTCTGAGAGCAGCATCCCAATACCCCTTGACCTCCAGCACTCAGGGCCGTGCCCGCTGCCCTGGGCAGCCCGTTCCATGCCCCCCACCCTGTGCTGCAGACCCTATCCCTAACCCCCAGCTGCCCTCCCCTGACAGCTCCGTGCCGTTCCCTCGGCCTTGTTGCTGTCACCGTTTTTCCTTTTTTCACTAACACAAGGAGCATCCTCCCAGGCATGGAACGACATACAGCCTCTTGGTGCTCACCTGAATACACCAAGCTCCCGGTGCCCTCCTTGACTTCAACAGCCACAGGCCAGCTTCCAGTAGGCTTGGATAGCCAGCACACCAGGGCCATTGTCCTTACGCTTCAAATTTCAGCACAGTGGCAAACACAAGCTTCTAACCTGCAATAGTGAAAACAGCTGAGAACAGTCATCTGGGGAGGATTGGGTTTTTCAAGCATTCTGCTGCTCCCACCTGGGGTTGGTTGGCCTTCCCTGCCCTTGAAGAGAAAAACGGAAGTCCAAAGGCACAGAAGTCCAAAGAGCAAAATATTAAAGCAGGCTCCAAACCTTTCATGTCTGGCACATCTCTCGTTTCCTTGAAGATCATAGAATTATAAAATCATTTGAGTTGGAAGGGACCCTTAAAGGCCATCCGGTCCAACTCGCTGCAGTGAACAGGGACACCCACAGGCAGATCAGGTTGCTCAGAGCCCCGTCCAGCCTGACCTTGCGTGTCTCCAGGGATGGGGCATCCACCACCTCTCTGGGCAGCCTGTGCCAGTGCCTCACCACCCTAATTGTAAAAACTTCTTCCTTACATCCAATCTAAACTTCCTCTCTTTTAGCTTGAAGCATTTACTGATGGCGTTGTGGGGCTCCCCTATAACTTGAGAATGGAAATAATAATAACTTGGAAAGGATATAAAAGGTACTGAAATAGCTAATAGGCTTTCTTGGAGATTTCTATACCCCTGTCCCACAGCAAACCCCGCAGCATCAGCAGGACTCTGTGCCTGACCACAGTGTGGGGAAAATGAGGAGTTAAAAATAGCCCTGAATTCAGAGCAGGCCATAAGATTTTAATTTGAAAGGTGTCGCCATCTGAAACAGTGCATGTTGTTTTGTTTTTTTTCTTCTTCCTAAATGTGCCAGCACTACAGGTAAAGCCTCACCCAACAAGGCTGTTCTGCTCTTGTGAAAAATTAAGCACCCCAATAAAGAAGGAATATGAGATTTCATAGATATCACAGGTGACCTGGAATATGAGCTTCAGACCAGAGGATTTGCTCTCTGTCAGGAGAGCTCTTCAAAACATTTACCTTTACAAATGCACGTGGTCTCTAGAAAACTAACATGGCTGCTGTATTCCAGTTAAACTTGTACCTTTCCTTGATGAGATCTTCATTATTTCATCCAGGAAGCTAAAATATGTCAATGATGTCATCATAAAACTAACCACGAGGGATTTTTAAATACAAAGCGCACATATATATTATGAATGCTGAGACACGAGAACTAACGCAGGAAAAGTAGGGCATTTGTCAGCTCCGACATCTGATCCTATTGTGTTGGTCTTCAACATTAATGAATAAACAAACACAAATAGGCTTCTTGTTGTGAGGCGAAGAGCAGCTGTCAAAACCAAAACCGGGCAGCTGTTCCCATTTTCAGATTTCACTTATTACAGCTTAAGTCATAAGTTTTGCTTTATTGGCTAAACACCTGGCCAGAGGATTTTGAAAAATTAGCAGGAGAGCCTCCAGAAAAATCAAAGTGTTGATTGACATACAATTTTAAGTAAGGTTTTGCCATGGGGTAACATTTTATGGGGGAGGTCCCTGAAGACTGGAGGATAGCCAATGTCACTCCGGTCTTCAAAAAAGGCAAGAAGGAAGACCCAGGCAATTATAGGCCTGTCAGCCTCACCTCTGTCCCTGGAAAGGTGATGGAACAGCTTGTGCTGGATGTCATCTCCAGACAACTGGGAGAAAAGAAGGTTATCAGGAGTAGTCAGCACGGGTTCACCAGGGGGAGGTCGTGTTTGACCAACCTGGTAGCCTTCTGTGATGTTGTCATATGCTGGGTGGATAGGGGGAAGAGTGGTAAATGTAGTCTACCTTGATTTCAGCAAGGCATTTGATACTGTCCCCCACGACATCCTTATAACAAAGCTGAGGAAGTGTGGGATGGATGAGTGGACAGTGAGGTGGGTTGAGAACTGGCTGACTGGCAGAGCATAGAGGGTCGTTGTTGGCGGTGCAGAGTCTGGCTGGAGACTGTAACCACTGGTGTTCCCCAGGGGTCTGTGCTGGGTCCGGTCTTGTTCAACATCTTCATCAATGACCTTGATGAAGGGATAATGGCCACCCTCAGCAAGTTTGCTGATGATACGAAGGTGGGAGGATTGGCTGACACGCCTGAAGGCCGTGCTGCCATTCAGCAAGACCTGGATAGGCTGGAGAGCTGGGCAGTAAGAAACCAGATGAGGTTCAACAAAAGCAAGTGTAGAGTCTTGCATCTGGGGAGGAATAATTGCATGCAACAATATAGGCTGGAGGATGAGCTGGTGGAGAGGAGCTCTGCAGAGAGGGATCTGGGTGTCCTGGTGGACGACAGGTTGGCCATGAGCCAGCAATGTGCCCTCATGGCCAAAAAGGCCAATGGCATCCTGGGGTGCATTAAAAAGAGCGTGGCCAGCAGGTCGAGGGAGGTGATCCTCCCCCTCTACTCTGTCCTGGTAAGACCTCATCTGGAGTACTGCATCCAGTTCTGGGCTCCCCAGTACAAAAAAGACAAGGATCTCTTGGAAAGAGTCCAGCGGAGGGCCACGAAGATGGTGAAGGGCCTGGAGCATCTCTGCTATGAGGAAAGGCTGAGTGAACTGGGTCTGTTCAGCCTTGAGAAAAAGAGACTAAGAGGGGACCTGATCCAGGTTTATAAATATCTGAGGTGTGGGGGCCATAGTGGTGAGGCCAGTCTCTTTTCAGTGGTGAGTGGAGACAGGACAAGGGGAAACGGACATAAGCTGCAGCATAGGAAGTTCTGCACAAATATGCGCAAGAACTTCTTTACAGTGAGGTGACGGAGCACTGGAACAGGCTGCCCAGGGAGGTGGTGGAGTCTCCTTCTCTGGAGATGTTCAAGACCTGCCTGGATGCCGACCTGTGCGACCTGCTGTAGGGAACCTGCTTTGGCAGGGGGTTGGACTCCATGATCTCTGGAGGTCCCTTCCAACCCCTACAGTTCTGTGATTCTGTGAACATTGAAGCAAAAGCTATTGCCCGCAGATCAGCACCACGTGCACCTGTTGACTGTACGAGTAACAGTATATGCACTTTTGGAAGGCATAAATGCTCTCAGAACTGGGAGTTTGAAGCAGATGTATTTGTGTTATGATTTAGGCCAAACGGCAGGTGGCTACAAATAAAGTGACAGCAAAGTTTGATGATACTGAAGATAGGGATGAGGTTCTGTTCATGCTGCCAGGGTGTAGTGCTCAGTACAGCACTGAAGTTGTGAGAATCAATGACAGCAGACTCCTGAACTGCCTCTCACCTAGGAACTAAGCAGAGCATTTGCACCTTGGCCTAAGTAATAAAGTCATGAAGGCTCAGCAGAGAATAATAACCTTTCTGATGAGTTTTTAATTGACATGTCAAATTCCTTAAGAGGAACATAATTCTCTTAAATTCTTCAGGGTTTACTCAAATACCTCTCCTCCCCTCCCCCCAAAATCATTTTATATTACTGTTTAAAAACCTTTAGTGCAGCTTCAAAGACACTACTCTTTGCAGTGCTATTGCTCTCATCCTTATTAAAGCCAGTAAGACTATTCTATGAGGATTTATATTAAGGCGATTTGAAGACATCATTAAGAAGATCAGCCCTCTGCCTGCCAGGCTGTTTCCTGTCAAAGAAGTCATCTCCTCTTACACTGTCGTTTGAAGCACTTGAAGAACTGGAGGCTGAATATTTGGAAACCCAAGAGAGGTCTGTCTTTCCCAACAGCGTGGGGAGAAGCTTTGAATTTCATATGGACAATTCTGGAGTAAGCTTTAGGGAAATGAAAGTTGTGAACTGCTTTGGAAAATGCTGTGTAGGCCGGGTTTCAAGTCTGGAAGCCTGGTTTCAATCTGCTGGAGTTCAAGGAGCGTTTGGACAATGTTCTCGGACCTAGGGTTGGAATTTTGGGTGGTGCTGTGTGGGGCAAGG